AAGTGACATCAATTTACTCTTTAAAATTTTAAAGAGTGTTCTGTAAACTTCCACCCAAATCACAATAGAAATTTAAAGAAGGAAAAAGAAAAAGAAGAAAACTTTAAGGAGGTCTTTTGCAGTTGATTTGCCCCGTGCAATACAACATCTGATTTTGCTGCTTCCATGGGTGTTGATTGTGGATCAAAATAAAATGAAATCTTGGACAACTTCAGTCTTTTCTTCATTTATCATGATTTGTCCAGTTGTGAGGGTTTTTTGTTTTCTTGATGTTGTGGTGTCATCCATACTGAAGACTGTACTCTATGATCATCATAAGTAAGTGCTTCACGTCATCTTCATTTTCAGCAAGTAAGGTTGTGTGTCAGAATATTGCAGTTTGTTATCATTGGAGTCTTCCTCCAATCCAGTTTCCACGTTCATCTTCATATAGTCCAATTTCTCAGACCATTTGTTCAGCATAAAGATTGAATAAGTATGATGAAGGGATACAACCCTAACACACACCCTTCCTGATTTTAAACTGTGTAGTAGCCCCTTGTTCTGTTCAAACAACAGCCTCTTGATGTATGCGCAGCTTCCTCATGAGCACAATTAAGTGTTCTGGAATCCCTATTCTACTCAATGTTATCCATAATTTGTTATGATTCACATAGTGAGATGCCTCTGTATGGTGAATACAGCACAAGTAAACATCTTTCTGGTATTTTTTGCTTTCAGCCAAGATCCATTTGGCATCAACAATGATATCCCTTGTTCCATCTCCTCTTCTGAATCCAGCTTGAATTTCTGAGAGCTCCCTGTCAATGTACTGCTGCAACCCTTTTTTATTTATTTTCAGCAAAATTTTGCTTACTTGTAATTTTAATGATACCGTTTGATGATTTCCACATTCTATTAGATCATCTTTCTTTGGAATGGGCACAAATAAACTTTGGTCTCTTTACATTTGACTTTTCGTTTTATATAAATGAAGTCATACAATATTTTCCCTTTTGTAATTGACTTAGTTGGCTCAGCATAATGTCTTCCAGATCCATCCATATTATACCAAGTATCAACACTTCCATTTCTCCTACTGGCTGAGTAGTGTTCCACTGTATATATGTACCACATATTGTTTATCCATATATCTGTTGATAAACAATTAGGTTATTTCTACCTTTTGGCTATTGTGAATAGTGCTACAGTGAACACTGGTGTACAAGTCTCTGTTTGAGTCTATGCTTTCAAGTCTTTTGGGTATATCCCTAGAAGTGGAATTGCTGGGTCATATGGTAGTTCTATTTTTAGTATTTTGAGGAACCACCACACTGTTTTCCACAACAGCTGTACCTTTTACATTCCCACTGACATTGGGTAAGGGTTCTACTTTCCCCACATTCTTGCCAACATTTGTTATTTACTGGTTTTTTGTTTTGTTTTGTTTTGGCTTTGTTTTTATCTCAGCCATCCTTGTTGCTGTTGGGTGTCGTTGAGTCAATTCCAACTCATGGTGACCCTGTGTACAACAGAATGAAACATTGCCTGGTCCTGTGCCAACCTCATAATTATTGCTGTATTTGAGCCCATTGTTGAAGCCACTATGTCAGTCCTTCTCATTGATGGTCTTCCTCTTTTTCACTGACTCTCTCCTTTACCAAGCATGATATCCTTCTTCAGGGCCTCCTGAAGCATGCCCAGTGTATATGACACCAAGTCTTGCCATCCTTGCTTCTAACCATCCTAGTGGTAGGGAAATGATGTTTCATTGTAATTTTGATTTGTGTCTCTCTGATGGCCAATGATACTGAGCATCCTTTCATGTATTTGATGGCCATTTGAATATCCTCCTTGGTGAAATTTCTATTCAAATCATTTGTCGTACTGCATGATTGGGTTATTTGTCTTTTTTGTTAAGTTTTTGAAATTTTCTGTATATGTTGGCTATTAGATTGTTGTTGGTTATATTGTTTCTGAAGATATTCTCTCAATTGATAGCTTGTCTTTTCACGTTTTTGGTAAATTAGTTTGAGGAATGAAGGTTTTTAATTTTTATGTGGTCTTATTTATTTATTTTATCTTTTGCTGTTTGTGCTTTTGTTATTATATTAGATAATCTTTTCTTAAAAGCTGGAGCTTACACTGTTGCCTTTGGTTTTTCTTCTAAGAATTGTATGGTTTTCGTTTATATATTTAGGTCCTTAATACATTTTGAATTTATTTTATAAGAGTTACTTTTAAGTAAAAAATTTGGAATGGAAACTTATTAGAGGGATAAGAGGGATTTTGTCCAAATTCTATGGTTTAATTTCCAGCAAGCAAAAATCTATATTTGTAGTATTACCTTTTAAAATCACATAGCTCTTAAGTGAAATTAAGAATTGCTTTTTTGCATTTTTGAGGGTAACTTTGTTATTTTTAATTTAATATTTTTAAATTTATTTTTGAGGGAAACAGCTAAATGAGCTTCCTTTGTCTATATTTTAAGCCTTGGCTTTTAAATTATTTCTTTGTCTATATTTTAAACTTGGTTTTTAAATTATTCCCTCCTCCATCTTTTTTTTGGTAGTGACATTAATTGCTATGGTTTTATTACAATTTCTTTTTGAGGAAGATACTAGGAACTAGTTCTCTGACTCATCAAAGTTTTGATAGGTTAGTGACAGCTGCTTAATCACAAATTGTATCTTAAGGCTAGAGATATACCTGTTATTTTTTGTAGATGGTGTGTTTAATATCTTTATAGCATCATACCCATTCTTTAAGTGTCAGCATGCAGAAAGCAAATATTTAGTTTTATTGGATGGTAATTTTTCAAGTGGTAAAATGTAAAGATAACAGTTCTTTATAGTAATAGCACTACAAAGTCTTTTTCTAATTTTTCAAGGAATTAATTATAAATGAAAATTATACATATTTTTAATGTGTAATAATGGTTTTGTGGTTTTGCTCTTTTAATAAAGCCTTGTTTGTCTTTTGGAGATACATACTGAGGTATTTCTAGGTGAAAATATAAGCTGTTTGTGATAAACTTTAAAGTAATACAATAGATGTTGGGGGTAAAGATGAAATAAAACTGGCCAGGAGCTCATATGTTGAACCTGAGAGATGAGAGTACATTGGAGTCCTTTACTATGGTATCCATCAATCTATCTACACTTAAATTTTTTGATAATAAAAATGTAGATTTTATAACACCTATCATTTCTGGAACATTTTACTATAGAAATTTATGAACCATCATGAAATCAAAATTACTCAAGTTATTGAAAACAAGACATATCTGTTCTACCAATCAGAGTTTCCTCCCTCCTCCAGTTAATTGTACCATGCAATCTGTTAGTCACCCAATATGAAGATCTACATCCAGTTATTCATTGAACTGGGTTACTTCAATTTATCTATTGCATTAGCTTCATTCCCACTCTTATTTCAAGCTCTCATGGTCTATATTCTGGCAGTAATAAATACTTGTAGAATGAATAAATGAATACAGGCCTTGAATGTTTGCCCTATCATAACACTTCTTACACTTCTTAACCCATCTTATAATTCCTTTTGACTTGTCTCTATGCCCTACTAGGTTTTAAGTTTTACAAAGGCAGAAGCTTAGTCTAGATCACCATTGTATGTCCCCAGTAACTAGCACAGTGTCTGACCCAAGTTAGGCCTTGGATATATATTTATGGAATGGAAGTATTGATTAATCTGTCTTCTTAAGTGTTCTCCTTGATTGCTAGCTCCATTTCAGCTAATTCATCCTCTGTCTCCTTTCTGGAGGAGTAGCTCTAAACTGTAATTGTGATACTATTTCCTCCATCGGTAGCAGTCCCCCATCAGGTTATTGTTCATTCAGACATTTACACTCAAAATCCATGGCCCATGATTGTGTGGGTCCTGCCACCTGTTTTCTCTCCTTCTTCACCTCTATATTCCACCATTCCATAGACTACCGGTATTACTTGTTTAGTTCATTCCTACCTTCTAAACATTTCCTCTCTTTGGGAATGTTATCCCTGATTACAATTTAAACATAGTGCCTCTGGGGATGCCTTCCTTAACCTGGGGAAGCAGAGGTAGTCACTGCCACTCTGCATTGCCACAGATGAAATAGCAGCAAATGAGACAGTCTCCCTGCTCTCAACATACTTACTCCATCTGGACTATTGACAACCATTTATTTCATCATTTTCCTTCTCACTGGCAGTGAGCATCACTAGAGTCAGAATTATTTTTTAGGTATTTTTTAACATCCTCACTTTGGTAGCATAGTGCCAAAGGCATTTGACTGCTAACCAGAAGATTGGCAGTTCAAACCCACCAGCCACTCCTTGGAAGGAAAATTGGGCGATCTACTTCCATAGTGATACAGCCTCCGAAACCCAAGGAGGGGTTGCTATGAGTCAGATCTGACTCAAAGGCAGTGAGTTTTTGTTTGTTTGTTTCACTTTATCTAGCAAATAGAAAGAACCCATTAAACTTATACAAAGTGAAAAAATTAAAGAATGTATATTTTTGTTAAATGAGTGAGTGATTTTTCCATAACAATGTTATATTAATGATATACTTGCCAGAGTATCTACAGGTTGCTTTTTTAATTTTGATCAGGTTTCCCTATATTATTTTCACAGCATATTCAGTAGGACAAAAGACCAATCTCTGAATTGTATAAATCTAATAATGAAATGCTGAGGTATGAAAAAAAAAAAATGTTGAACCCGGGGAGCAAAGGAAACATGAAACTTTTGTTTTCAGAAGTTCAGGTTTTATTTAGTAGTGGAATAATTCTGATGATAGTTTTAATGAAGCCTTGGGATAGCATCAGTGGAGATGGTTACTGACAGATATGTCAGAGCTCCAGAAGAGCCATTCTTTGTTGCTTAGTATACATTTTGTAAAACAGCCGTTGTACAAAAACACAAAAATGTTGGAAAATATCTCTTTATATGGTAAAGTGAACATTATAGCTTAAGGTCATAAAGCTTCTATTTTCTTTCCTTCTCCCTCTTCCTTTGCAGACATGTCCTCTCCAACTACTATGAAGAAGCCTGAAAAGCCATTGTTCAGCTCAACATCTCCACAGGATTCTTCCCCCAGATTGAGCACTTTCCCCCAGCACCACCACCCCGGAATTCCTGGAGTTGCACACAGTGGTGAGAAGTTTCAAGCATATATGAGAAGTCTCACTCTTGTCTACAGGGCCCAAACACTCAGTAGATGGAGCAAATGTTTATAAGTTTAGCAATGGGGACCGCACTTTCTCAACCAAAAAGGGGCAGGGGATCATAGTTGATAAAATATCCTTTTTGTTAATTAACAAAAAAAGATTTTTGAAGCCATCAATTTAAAAACATTCAAACCAAAAAACCAAGCCCACTGCCATCGAGTCAATTCTGACTTATAGCAACCCCCATTGGGTTTCTGAGGCGGTAAATCTTTATGGAAGTAGATTGTCCAGCCTTTATTGGAAAGTTTACAGTCAAAAAGAATTAGAAAACATGGGGTACATAGTTAACTGTAATTTCAGCATTGGTCCTTATTCTAAATATTTTATTAAGGGAAAGATTGATTATCAAGTATATTACGGAGTTTAGAGTATCTCTAATAGAATTAAGATAGAAAGACATGATTTCTGTAGATGTTCTTTTCTATATACAGTCAATATTTAAATAATTTTGAAGAATTTAATTCATTTTTTAAAAGTGATATTTTTCTTTGACAGCTGTTTTATATGCACATAATCTTCATGTGGAATAATATACTTGATCTTATGTTTAATATCTTAATACAATAGGAACAAGAAGCCAATATTTTATATTTGTAATTTAAATTACATCATGATAAAAGGAGAAAATATTGATGTTTTCAGGTATTCATTTTATTTTGGATCGACAATCAATGCCTATGGAAGAAACAGTCAAGAAACACATGATATATTGCTCTGGGAAAATCTGGTGTAAAAAACCTCTTTTTTAATTAAAAACAAAGATGTCACTTTTAGGGCTAAAACATACCTGCCCCAACCCAATACTGAAAGTACCATGGACTGCCAAGAGAACTACCAAATCTGTCCTGGAAGAATTGCAGTTGGAATGCTTCTTGGAAGCAAGAATGGCCAGACTTCATCTTACCTACTTTGGTCATGTTGTCAGAAGGGACCATTCCCTGGAGAAGGATATCATGCTTGGTAAAGTAGAAGGTTAGCTACTGGGTTTGAACTGCCAGCCTTCTGGTTAGCAGTTAAATGACTTAGGCACTATGCCACCAGAGCTCCCAGTGAAAAAGAGGAAGGCCCTCAATGACATGGATTGACACAGGGGCTGTAACGTTGGGCTCAGATATAGCAAGGCTTGTGAGGCTGTCACAGGACTAGGCATTGTTGCATTCTGTTGTACATAGGGTCACTGTGAGTCAGAGCTGACTCAATGGCACCTAACAACAGCGACAACATGTATGTGAAAGCTGGATAATGAATAAGGAAGACTGAGAAATTAATGTTTTTGAATTATGGTGTTGGCAAAGAATATTAAATGTACCGTGGACTGCCAGAGAATGAACAAATCTATCATGGAAGAAGTATAGCCAGAATACTCCTTAAAAGCAACAGTGACAAGACTTCATCTTAAGTACTTTGGCCATGTTATCAGGAGGGACCATGCTTGGTAAAATAGAGGGTCAATGAAAAAGAAGAAGACCCTCAGTGAGATAGATTGACACAGTAGTTCCAACACTGGAATCAAGCATAGCAACAATTGTAAGGATAATGCAGGACTGGGCAGTATTTCGATCAATTATATATAGGGTCACTATGAGTTGGAACACTAACAGCATCACCTAACAATGACATCAAATTTAGGTGACAACTAATACTAAATTCTTTCTCAAAAATTGAAAATGAGATGCAATTGATAAGCAATATTAGAGATTTTTTACTTAATACTCTTAAGCTCTTCACAGGAGTAAACTGAATTGTAGGTAGAAAAAGTTTAATTTGTAAATGTTTATATAGATACGCTATTTGTTTTAAATTTATGGTTAGGCAATTCCTTAACCTTCACCCTGGAATATAGTTTTTACATCTTTATTCAAAGGATGTAACATTTCTTAAAGTCCTTAGCTATGATTTGTAAATGTATGTCAATATTTATTGTTACTATGCCCTCAGAAGGAAGGTTGGGCAATCTATTTCTGTACTGATACCTCCTCGGAAACCCAAGGAGGGGTCGCTATGAGTCAGGTGCAACTCGACGGCACATAACAACCACAATACCATACTTTAAAAATGTATGTCTGATAATATACTTGATCTTATGTTTAATATCTTAATAAAATAGGAAAAAATATATATATAATACCCCAAAGATTATTAGTGGTTACCAGAAGTAGCAGGGAGGAAGAAAGAGGCAGCTTTTGTGTGTGGGCATTGAGGTTTTGCTAATGGTGGTGGGAAAAAATGGATGTCTTTTATTGTTGTAATGAAGGAAATATAAAATTAAGAGGGAAATACACAATTTGATGTGGTAAAATTTTTTCTGTTTATTCTTTATACTGCTGGTATAAACCAGTATCTATTTCATAGATTTTTAACACTGAATATTTGAAAATAAACGAACTTAGATGTCAAATCACCTATTTATTAAGATACCTGATTAAAATATTAATACTTCTAAATCTGCAAAAAAGTAAACAATGATTCTCTCCATAATGATATGTGGGACACTTAGGTAAGTCTTTCATCTTGGTCCTTCATCATATATTTTTCCAACATAGTCTTAGGCTTTCTAGGAAGGAAATGGCTCATGTGATTGTGGAGGCTGGTAAGTCCCAAATCCATGGGTCAGGTGTTAGGCTGGAGGCTTCTCCTGACTCATGTGTCTGAAGGGGCTGATAAATTCACAGTCAGTAGGTCAAATGACAGGCTGTTTGCTCACAGGGCTGCAGAAACTGGCAAATCCCAAAATCAGTGGGTCAGATGGCAGGCTTCTGGATCACAGGGCTGTAGAAGCTGGCAAATCCCATAATTGGCAGGTCGGGTTAGGCTGCTAGCTCAAGTCTCAGGAACTGGAGGTCAGATGATGATGAACCAGATACAGGATCCAGAACCTTGCCAGAACATCCATATATGTATTGGATGCAGGTCACAGCCCCCAAAAAACTTCTGTTACATCAATGTATGGTATGACTTGACTAAGGGTGTGACTTCAGTAAGGGCATGACTTGAGTAATGGTAGGACCTGAGTAAGGGTGGGACTTGAAGCATGCCTTCTTAGAAGGCTATGACTCCATATACCCTACACTAATCATATCTTATTAACATATAGAGTTTATGATTTACAATATATAAAATGTTAGATAATTACATAATATCACAAAATGAAAGATAAGTACATCAGATCACAGAATTGAGGACAACTACTCAATACTGGGAATCATGACCTAGCCAAGTTGACACATAGCATTAACCATCACAGTCCACCCCTTACCAGCTTGGCACCTATACACATCTCCTTAAACCATACATAATCTCTAAGTAAAGACAATTATAAAGTCATATTTGTACCTAACATGATACAACTTAGCATGTGTACAATAAGAAAATACACTAGCCCTGTTTACATCTTACAGTTTATAAGAAAACAACATTTGCTAAAATTGTATGTATACATTCATACATACACACACACAGAACCTAAAATAAAGCAAGGAAGAAGCTGCAATTGGTCATGTGGTTATAGTTGATATATAGAACTACCTTCTTCCACTCCCCATTTTGTATTCCCATTACCCTCAGCAAGAGCCTCATCTGGTTGTGGTTTTTTGCATGGTGGAGTGACCCAAATCTTCATTCCTGGAGTCTGGGCCATTAGTAGTCATGTTGGAATTGGGTTGCTATAGTTTTCCATTGACTTTAATCAAAGAGCATCATGTTACTTACTACGAGACACCCCAATAGATCTTCTATATTCCAGAAATATTCTTCTTTATCTTTGTTATATAATATCAATTTGAAGGACCTCTGGTGGTGTAAGGCACCAAATGCCTAAGGCATTTGACTGCTAACCAGAAGGTTGGCAATCCAAACCCACCAGCCACTCTGCGGAAAGAAGATCAGGCAATCTCTACTTCCATAAGGATTTACCACCTCATAAACCCAAAGGGGTTCGTTATGAGTTGAATTCAACTCGATGGCAGTGAGTTTTTAGTTTTTGGTCTGGTAATGAGGATCAGTCACACCAGCCCTTCTTTGCCTATTGATCCAGAGGCACGAGAAGCCTAAAATGGCTTTTGGGTGGTACTTGCATATCATGCAGAACAGTCTGTAAGAAAGGCACGAGTTTCCACTTCCCAGTCAGTTGATCATAAGGAACTCCTCCTGAGGCCATAGGAGCTGACAGGGAGAGGGAAGGTAATGTGACAGAAATGGAGACCATAGGCATTTGGGCCACTTCCTCATGTAACTTACTTATGCCTTCAGGTCCTGTTCAAGACCAATCTCGTGATGGGCAGCTGAGACCACATGGTGACTTGATGGCCCATGGTTAAGCATTCAGTCTTTACTAAGGCCAAATAACAAGCCAAAAACTGTTTTTTCAAAAGTGGAGTTATTATCTTCAGAGGATGGCAGGGCTTTGTTCCAAAATTCTAAGGATCTGCACTGTGATTCACTAATAGAGGCCTGGGAAAGATTCCAAACAGCATTTCTATCTGCTACTGACCCTACAGGTACCATTGGATCAACCAGATCATATGGCCAAACTTGCAGAGTGCCTTGCATGGCAGCTTGTACCTGTTGCAGAACCTTCTTTCTTCTGGGCCCCACTCAAATCTAGGAGCATTTCAAGTGACTTGATAAATAGGCCACACTAGCACACCCAAGTGAGGTATATGTTGTCTCCAAAATCCAAAGAGACCTACCAGGCATTGGGCCTCCTTTTCAGTTGTGGGAGAAGCCAGATGCAACAATTTATCCTTCACTTTAGAAGGAATATCTTATATATCATCTTATATACCACTTATCTTATATACCACTGTTGGTAATTGGTATGTGCCATCCAGTTGGCTCCAACTCATAGCATTAATAACCTGACCTCCATATGCCCCTACTCTGACAGGTAATCCATAGGGACATTTTGTCAGATGTCCCTCGGAACTGACAATTAGTCAGTTCCGAGCCAGTGTTCAGTAATCCCCAAAAAGTCTCATTATTTCCTTTTCCCCAGTGAATAGTCCCTCTTGTAAAACACTGTAGATTCATTTAGGGAAGGCTGGGAGAAAGATTAACAGTATAGATTTCTGGCAATGCATTGAGGACCTCTCTCCCCTTCATTCAAGGGGTTGTGAGTTTGTAAACTGGCTCAAGTCTGGGAATTGATTGAGGGGCTGTGACTCTTTATTCTGATGTTTCAAGTTTGACTGCTGTTGACCTAGAATTCTTCTGTTTGTACAAATCAAGTAAATATTTAGTAGATTTCCCATCTGTTTTACTCCTAGAAATACTGAGACTAAGTAGTCAATGTCCTAAATCCATATGAATGAAAGTATTCTGATTACTGCTTTGATTCTGCTGTCTATTACAGTAACCATGCCCACCTTTCTTTATTATTTACCAAAACCAAAACCAAACTCACTGCCACTGAGTCATTTCCAAGTCATAATGACCCTATAAGACAGAGTAGACTTGCTTCATTTTCCAAGGGTGTAAAGCTTTATGAAAGCAGATAGCCTGATTTTTCTCCTGTGGAGTACCTGGTGGGTTCTAACCACCAACCTTTTGCTTAGCAGCTGAATGCCTTAACCATTGTGCTACCAGAGCGCTTCTTTGTTGATTAAGTGCTGTCAATTGGTCCCTAGCACCAAGGGGTCCAGTCAGCCCCATCGTAGTAGTTGTTGTTATTATTATGTGCCTTGGAGTCAGACCCGACTCATAGCGACCGTCCTTGGGTTTCCGAGGCAGTGTCACTACAGAAGTAGATTGCCCTATCTTCCTTCCGAGGAGTGGCTAGTGGGTTTGAACCGCCAGCCTCCTGGTTAGCAGTCAAGTACCTTAGGCACTATGCTACCAGAGCTCCCATTGTAGTTAGGTGTCTTAATTCAGTTAGATCAGTACCCATTTGTCAGATCTGAGCAATCATAGCAGACTTCAAGGATGTTGGAGCTCTCTTCACAATTTAGTTCTTTACCATTGTAGTAAAAGATGTGTCCTCTGGTCACTCCATGGGTGGGTCTGTGAGTCCAACCTGATAAATACACTTTAATATGCCAGTTTCCCTAAGTCTTTGAATACCTTCTTCTGCATTATGCCACGGCAGATCTGGCACTTCAACTTGATAGAGTGAAGGCCACCACTTAATCTATGCTTCAGTGAAACAACTAGTTAAAACTATTAAATCATTTCCTAACCTCTCAAGCTGAAACACTGAGTGAAGGTTTTGTGGGACTTAAATCTAATTATAGATCTAGAAGCAAAAAATGAGTGGTGGGGGTGGGTCTTGGGAACATTCAGCAATGTGTTATAAGGTATCACCCTCATGCAATGCCTCAGGCAATGCCCCAGACACCATCTTGGCCAAAGACTCTTCAGGCACAGTTGGGTTAATGTCATCAAATGCAAGTGGAAAGGATAATGATTTTCTAGGAAAGGTGCTTTAGCAGACAAAGATGGAGTAACTGTTCAGAAGGGAGGGGTGGGGCTATGGGCAGGAATGATTCAACGGAATTTAAGGGCACATTGTCCCTGTTTTCCTGATTGATTACGTATATGTCCCCATCCCAAATTTCAGTATCCCATTTCATACCAATCAATGCTCTCACTTTCACTTCAGACACTACTCGAGGCGAGGAATTCAACTGACATTGTAATTTAGCCACTTTTACAATAAAACTGAGTTTTCAGAAATATCAGCTCTGTTACTATAACAAATAGGGTTTTCTTTCAGGCCACAAACAGCAACTTTCAGGTCTTTTATGGGGCACTTGAGCTGTGACTCTGAAGCCCAGAGCTCACTTCTTTGTTTCCCCACTTCTTCTGGCGAAAGTGAAATCATCCAGCCAGCTTCCTTATATTTCTCATTCTGACAAAATTAAAGAAAATTATCCAATATGCAATCAGAGCCTTGTTTCTCACACGTATTTTATCTTTTGGTGATAATGTTTTTCTTATTTTTATTGCCTCCATGGATTAATAGTGTCCTCTTTAGTATCAGAAGCAGAGTCATCAGTGCCTTTAAAACTGTCCAGGCTTGAGATTCTGTATTCAGTAGGCAGTGGGAAGCCACTGAAAGATTTTTTCATGGAGAAGTTACATAATTGTAATGGTACTTTTTAAAAGTCATTGGTAAAAGAGCATGAAGTATGTATTGGGAAGAGCAAGACTGGAGGAAGGAATCCAATTAAGAAGACTTCACAGGCAAGATATACATTCATGCATATTTGGATGGATGGATGGATTCTTTCATAATGAAGGAAAAAATTTTCTATCTTGTATTTAGCTTTATTTCTTGAAGGACTAGAATGAATTTTATTGAGTAGATAAAATTAGATAGCTATCTTAGTTTTCCAGAGCTTCCTAACAAAATACCACAAAGTGTGAATGGCTTCAAAAAACAGAAATGCGTTCTTTCACCATTCAGGAGTATAGGAGTCCAAATTAAGGGCATTGGAAGATCCTTCCTTCTGGTAGCCCTGATATTTGTTGGCATTTCTTGGCTTGCAGCTGTGTCTGTCATATGACTGTTCTTCATTTGTGGGTAACTCTATTTGTTCTCCCCTCTTATAAGACACCACTCAGAAGGGATTAGGACTGGCCCTACTTCAGTCTGACCTCATTAACCTAACTGGTAGCAACTGCAAAAAGAAAAAATCCTATTTCTCCAAACAAGATCACAGTCACAGACAGGTACAGAGGTTCGTGTTTCAGCCTATCTTGTTGAGGGATACAAGTCAATCCACAACAGTAGTCATTTGGACTTTGGATTGAGATACAGCATTCTACCAGGCCAGCTACAGCTCACTTAAGCAAAGCAGCAAAATGTCCAGAGATTTGAGTTCAGATTGGATTTGTGCCAGTTCATTGGAAAGGAGATCTCTTTCATGATTTTAAACTATATTCCTGCCTGCAAGAACTGCTGATACCAAAACAATGCCCAAAGGACCCAAGATGTAGCTGTATATATGTTCCTGAAAGGTTTCCAACAGATGTGTGTAAAGACTGTGGTTAAATTGAGCTGAGATGAAGTCCCTAAACAGACAGAATGCCCAATTTTATGTAGATGTTTGTGTTGCCTTAAATTATACCTTCAATTGTGTATACTTCTTAAATAAATACTTCAAAAAGGAGTTTTGCTTTAAGAAATATACAAATTATTTTCTGAAATGCATTCTTTCATTTGATGGGGCATGCTCAAAATTCAATGTGGAAAGAGATCTCATAGGGTACATGTTTAAAATGCACTCCCTGGTGCCTTACCCCTGCAGGTACTGATTCAGTAGATCTGTGGTTAAATCCAGAAATCTGCATTATAGCAATCAATCCAGAGGATTCTAAGGAACAGTGCCCTAGATATTCCAGGGAGCAAAGTTATGACCATTGAATTTATGATTCTGTTGTGATATATATTCATAGTTTCTTATACCTTATGAAAAACTTTCTTTGGGAGAGATAAGCAATATCTTTTAAAAATTTTTGGGGTGTGTGTATGTGTGTGTGTGTGTGTAATTAGTTGGAGATAAGTCATTCCAGAAATTTCATTTATAGGTCATGGAAAGAATTTATTTTTTCATATTATTTGATTTGCTAAGATATCTCATAAAACACAAAACACTCATAATTTCCTTTAATTGGAATTGAAATATTAAATAGAAACACATTTAATCTAAACTTCCATATATATTGGTTGATATTCTTAATTTGTGCTTGATTGGTTACTTATATGTCTCCATCCTAAATTTGTATTTTCTTTAAAATGGTAGAGATAATGATTGTACAGTTATCTTCTTTCCCTATTTTTAAAACTTGATGTATATTTAGAAAATTAAATAATAAATTATGATTATACTAATGATAAACTAAAGTTCAATAAAATTAAACATCCCTTAGATAGTATGTGATTTTTTAGTGGTATACTTTGTAAAATATGTGATTTATGAGTAAGTTAGTATATGAGAATTATAATTTGAATTGGAATGGATTTTATTCTTGGCTTTACTATAACAACATCTTTTAAGCTACATACAGAAGAAATTATGGTAGAATGAAAAATAGTTATAGACTAGGGCTCTTTTGGTTTTGAAAGGAACATTTTCATTAGGAAGAGTTCCCAGGACCCTATATTGAATATTCATAATCATTTATATAAATATCATGATATTATTCCTTATTAATTATTAGCTTTCCTTATAAACAACCACCAGCTAATATTTATAGGGGAAAGATTACCTAAAATGTTATTACACTTCAGTTTTCATTTGGTAGAAATTCCAGGATCCTCTGCTGTCTGATTCGTGCTGTGACTTGATCTGGATTCTTGAGACAAAGATTTCATAATCAGAAAATATGTTTTGCTGGCAAATAAGTTTGCTCAAAGAAATGCTTTAACCAACAATGGTATAACTCATAAAAGAGAAACTTCTTTCTGTAAAAATTCATGGATCTCTTAAGCAGGATTGATACTGCTTTTTAGTGTGTGTTTGTGTGTGTGTGTGTGTGTGTGTGTGGCAGGATGTCTGTGTGGGCCCATCAGTACTAATGTCGAGAATATAAAAGAATAGCTGTTATTTTAGGAGAACTTGGTTTAAATCATGAAAATACTAATGAATGATGATCGGTTTTATAGGTTCACTGCTGATGAATCGATCTTTCCTTTTCTGTCTTCTGCAGTCATCTCAACTCGAACTCCACCTCCACCCTCACCGTTGCCATTTCCAACACAAGCTATCCTTCCTCCAGCCCCATCGAGCTACTTTTCTCATCCAACAATCAGATATCCTCCCCACCTGAATCCTCAGGATACTCTGAAGAACTACGTACCTTCTTATGACCCGTCCAGTCCACAAACCAGCCAGGTAAAAACAAGAGAGAAAATAAGGTTAGAGCCTAAGGGAGATGGAACAGGGCGAACTCTAAGGCATAGAGGTTAGTCAGACAGTATGTCTGGCAGAACATCAAGCTTTTGAAATCCATCTTCAGGAAGCGTCTTGGTGATTCATTTAAATGGGGCTGAATGGCAGGTAGGAAGTGTGTTGCCCCAAAGGGGCTTATTTATGATGATGGTTTTGGTTTGATGTTTTTGGATTTTCATTGACTGAAGAGAAAGTCTATGCAGAAAGTACACTGAGAAAAAAACTCTGAGCTGAAGTTCACACCTCTGAAATACCTTGTTTGACACAGAGACAAGGTGATTATTTTAGGCAGGAGCAGGTTATGTGCTAAAATAAACACACACAAAAGAACTTACAGTTGTATTTATAGGCCAACTATTAGGCATTAAAATAAGCTTCACTAAGGTAAACATTTTCAGTGTTTGATGACTACTTGAATATTCTTTGTACAGACATGACTACATTTAATAATGAGTGACAGTACTAGAAGCGTCTTTTATTTTTTCTTTTGTAAACATTGTGCAGTAGTTGTAGAGATTCATTGTAAATGTAGTGACTCGTGTATTTTCCAGTCACCAGAGATGTGGTTCTTTCTATGGAGAGGTTATTCTGTAGAGATTTGGTAATAAGAGTAGATAGTCTTTGTGGAGTGCTGGGTTTATCAATGATTGCAAAATCTAAGATCAGTGTTAATGTTATTTTGATCTTATGGTCTGGTATTTGGCTTTGCTGCTTTCTTCCAAGACTATTGTTCACTCCTTATTATACCTTTTGGTGCTTTGGGGATGTTTTGAAACATTCTGTTATTAATACTGTTTAGTTATTAAAATGGCAGTAATTAGGATGTGCATATTAATTAATGATTAAAAACAAAAAGTATGGAAAGAGTCCCTTTAGACTTAATGTAATTGTTTAAATGAATCAAAACAGTCCTCTCTGAGTCTGAATGTTTTATTTTGAGTAACAACATATCCAGCAATCTTTAGATTACTTAAAGTTACCTTTACTTTTGGCCCCATTGACAAATTAATATACTAAACTAATTACAGCATTCCTGAATTTTGAATTTTAAGCTAAACTTACTGTTTTGTATTTTAGAAGAAAATGTTCAAAATGGTATAGTAATTTTAATGATCTAATAATAGTGATAACTAGGTAAAACTGTAGGATCTTAATATATCAGTTTAGAAATAAAATTTGCTGTCTGAGCCTAGATTCAAAAGTCTGGGTTCCATGGAGCATTTTGCTAGACTCAGCTGTGAACAGTGCATGCAAGGTCTGATTTTAATTTGTGTAGAATTTCTATGAATAACAAAGTCTAATTAAAGCGTCCATTAAAAGTCCTTAACGTTAATTCAGTGTGGAAAATCTTCGAGTTCCATTGGATTTTTTTAAAAAACTGATGTCTTAATTAGGCACTGTGAGGGGAAAAATTATGCAAATTAAAATCAGGCCCTTAGTGTTACGCATTTCTTTAATTATTCAGTGCTCGTTTTAAGTCCATTTCAATTTCTTTATAAGTTAAGAGGGCATATTAGGTAACAATCAGCCTATATTGTTCTTAGTTTTTCTTCACATTTTCCAGGTAAAGATCGAACCTCTAAGAGAAGCATCTTACTCTCATCTCAGGTTTTTTTATTTCCCAGTTTAAATCCCTTCTCAGGATTTGTATAATTGAGTAGGATAATCCTTTTAGCTGCTATGTCAACTTCATCTTCAGGTAGACCTCTCTCTTCTCATATCTGCAATATGAAAGCTTATCTATTAACAGCCTTAAAAGATAAACACTTTATTGCATAACATCATCTGTTTAAATTAGTAGAAAACTGAAGAAAAATAACTTTGCCATTTTTCTCACACTGAGCTTCAGAAAACTTACCTGCATTGGCTTGAGCATTCTTTGTTTTGTCACTTTTCTTATATTTAAATGAGAGAAATATCTGTCAGTTTATGTTGATTGTGATTCCATTCCAGTGGACAAAGCTTGCAGAATGGGCAGGGCATTCATTATCCTATTCTGTGGCAGCGTTTTCTAGACATTACTCTCATTCTGCTTCTATACCACTCTCTCAGGTAGGTGCTCTCAAAATGTTTTGGTAAATGTTGTATCCAGAAACATTTTTACCACTCACTGACTGTGTGACCAATGATAAAATGAGACTTCTCTTCTTTCCTGAGTAGGTTATACGAAGCAATCATTTGTCATGTTCACATAACCAGGAGTTGATGGCCTGCTTTAGAAACGAGCTATTTTTTCCCCTGAAAGGAAAAAATGGATCTTTATACTAAGCTTCAAATTTGTTTTGGTAGCAACATTATATCCGCTTTGCTTTTTAAACGCCAACTCAAAATCAATTAATTTGTACTTCAAATTAGAACTCTCGATATTCACCTTTTTAGCTCTAGAAATTGAAGAAAATGGGTACAAGTTCAACCTAGTAAACTGATCCTTCCCAATATCTTCCAACGCTGCACTGATTTTGATCGTTACGTCAAGCAACTGAGATACCTTTTCCTCCCCACAGCAATTTGGAGATTAATTGCATTATTGCTGCATGATTATGATTATATTGAGACAAGAAAGCTACTGAATGGAATATTTTCCATTTAAGTTTAAGATATAACCTTCCCATAGGTTTCTGCAGGGGGAAGCTATGGTCAGTATTCCTCACATAATGTTCAACACCTAAAATTACATATGATGAATAGTCAGGATATTCAAGAAGTCTACTCTGTTTCTAGAATAAATAACGTAGACTCTGAGGAACTCAACCAAAGCCTTAGCTCATGTCTCTAAGTCACAATAGTTAAGTGTTATTCATTATGACTCTTTTTCTCTACAGAAATATATACTTGTAGTTTATATGCAGGTATTTAGATAAATATTCTGCTTCATTGCCATCTCAGTTCAAATGACAAGGGCTAAATATTTATGAAGAACATCTAGCAAATTGTTATGTGTGCAATATAGTGGAGAACCAGCAAGAGTACAAAATAGCATCCTCTGCCTAGAAAAGTATATACCAGAATTTCTTCAAATAGTGTACCCTTTAGGATTTTGTCTTACCATGTAAACTCTCTTTGTACCCAAAAACTAATACACAGATAATAGTATCTTCCCAATCATTGGCCAGGAGATTTTCTGAGTGAATTCCCATACAAGTCAACAATCAATATTGTATGTAACTCTCCATGTAAAACAATGGAAGAGTAACTCAAATAATAGTGTATATTTAATTGTTCTCTATTTCACTTCAGTACATTTTAATTTACTTCCAAAGTATTTTACTTGTAGGTCTAAGGGCAATCCAAGTTTAGCATTTTATATCATTGTATGGATCTGAAGTTTTAGAGGCTTTAGATCTCTTTCTCTCTGCTTGTATGTGTAAATCACCAAAAGTAAAATGGAGATCCTAGACTCTAAATTGCCTGATGTGTGTGTCTGAGTATCTTTGTGTGTGAGAGAGTGCTAACGTTTTTGAATCCAGAGGAATGGGCCTTAAGGATGAATGGTGGGAATTACAGTATTTGATGTTTTTAATCTCCCGGATAATCTTGTGTTATCTTCTGTGAGTAATATTATCATTTGGGTAGAATCATTGCAGAAGCCACAACGGACTCATTGTAGACAATAAAGAGCAAAGATAAGGCAGCACTGGGTTCTCATTCTAGCTAGCTCAGTGAAGGCTTCCATTTTAGACTTGGGCTAAGCATTTAAATCTTCACTTGGGTTTTCTAGCCTACTAAACTAAAAGGACCAGGTGTGTCTGATTCTCAGGGAATGTAGTAAAGACAAATAAACCTCTACAAAGTGCTTTAAAGATGAAAACCTTTTAAACGCCTGTTGATTCTGATTACAACTAACCATTGACTGGCCACTCTGACTCAGACTTGAGAGAGGCCTGTGCAGTGATCATGCACAGAGTGCAGGGTCTACATGGCAGAGTATGTGGAGCAGAGTTGTTGGACAAGATGACTGCCTTTTGGATTGCTTCACCTGGCATTCTGTTTTTGTTTTGTAGCCTAACAGCAGTGGTCAAGTAGTAGGGAAAGTGCCTGGCCATTTCACTCCTGTCTTGGCACCCTCTCCCCATCCCAGTGCAGTGCGACCTGTGACCCTGACCATGACAGATACTAAACCCATCACTACATCCACTGAAGGTGAGGCAGCTTCACCTACAGCAACCAGTAAGTATTTCTGTAGGAAATGAGAAATGTCCATCGGAGGCACCATTGGATATCTGATCCAAGGTGGAAAACACGCCAACTTTTCCAGCTACCCAACAAGATGGAGATTTCTCATTTATGTGGAACTGGCAGGCATGTCTGTGGCCTGGCTATCACATGCTCTCTCTTGTCAAATTTCAATCAGTGCATCATATTTGAAAAGAGAGAAGCTTACTTATTTGAGTAAACAGGTATTATAAAATAATCAAGCATGCCTGCTTGTTCAAGGTATACATCTAAATTGCACTGAATAACATAATGTAGTGTATAAGGTTTTTATATCACCCAAAGAGAGATTAGATAATTGTTACTTATTTGAGCATTCCTATAGAAATCAAGTCCCTCCACAAGACAGACTGAATCAGTGCCTCTGTGAGATAATTGCATGTTTACATTACTGTAAGTTATGTCATTGTTAGAAACAGTCACACAATGTTGGGTGCAGGCAGGAGCATTTCAAAGCTGAGTATCAGGCACATGTAAGCTACCTGCGCTTTCATTATCTGCAATTTTTTTTTTTTTAAACTTTTTGGTTATTTTTCCTATCATGGTACATTAGATACTATGTTTTTTAGCATGGCCATGACATTTTAAATGTCAGAGATTTAGCCAGTGCACTTGCATAATACATGTAAGCCTGAGCCAAGCCATCCCTTCGCTTCTTCATATAGAACATACAGAAGTATACAAAGAATTAATTTTCAATTGGCTTCACCCAAACTACTAGCTTCTTAGAACTGAATCTGTGATGTGTTCAGGTTGGTAAAGGACCCTACCCAGGAGGAATGAACATGTTTCCCATCAGTTGTACATATCTTTGAAATCCAGGCCTTCTGTTTTCCCTCCTAGAGCAAGAAAAGCCTCATGCTCTAGAAATTCCTATGTGAAATTTCAGAGTCACTCAGAGACACCACTGGCTCATCCTTACCCAGCCATTGCAAAGATCCTCTATATTTGTAGCTTCTGAAAGACTAGGGAGGAACCTCATTACCATCCTCCCCACAAAAAAATGGGCGGTGCTTTGAGTGTATGGTGAATTCAACATTTTTTTTTTTTTTCTTAAAATTCATGAAGTTCCACAGACTAGTAAGTTCATATAGGCTTGTACTACTTACTCACTGCTGTCGAGTCAGATCTGACTCATAGCGACAAGACAGTACCTCTAGTACCTGTGAATAATCATTGCTACTTAGTAACCTGTTTGTTACTAGAGGGTTCTATAGTAGTAACTGCTTCCCAGAATGCACAGATGGATGAGACCCAGTCAAGAAGACTAAAATTGCTTTTGTTCTAAAGATTAGCTATATACATCACAGTTACTAAAACAATGGATCCAGGTTTTAAAAGTGATGTCATTTAATCTTTGGTCAAACAAAGTCAACATTTTAAATAAAAGCAATTGGAAAACAAAGATTAAACACACACACACACATATACAACACATTGAAGAAAGAAGTACAAGACTATCATAGAGTAAATTATTAAAACTTAGTTTTAGAAACTTCTGGTGCTTACTCTTGTAGTAACAATAGATGAGATCAGATCCAAATGATCACGGCTCATTTCAGCCTGTTAATGAATTGATTTATATTTACAGGTTGATCAGAAAGAGATCAAATCTATTAAGATTGCAAAATATTCAAAAGGAATATCTTGCTTATATAAAGATGACTGTATCTTTCCATTTTTCACTCCTAAGTAAATTAAATCTAATGAGTAGTTTTTTTCTATAAACAGATTAACTTGTAGCTCTATTTCTCCAGGCACCCCTGATAATGAGAAACTGGTCATTGAAAGTCAGTAAAGGCAACCTCTTTCTCATGATTGAAAATGAAGAGTTGCACAAACTCCATGCCCACTCTTTATGGGTGATGCTTCTCTGGTGCCCATGCTCCTTATTGGTTTCCAGAAGCCTGGAGATCTAGTAGGGGCCACCACCTGCTTACAGCTAATTCTTGTATGAATATTTTATTAAGGAGTACTTAAAAGATGAATTGTGAGCATCTTCAATGCTTTTTTAAGAAATTAGTCTAAATAAATCTCAGTGGATCAAATTCTCCAATCCTTCAAATGCATGTGGCAGAACTAATATATTGATTTTCTTAAGAAGTCAATTTAAAATTGATGTCTGGAATCCTTATTAATCTAATAGTTTTAAACAAAACATTTTGAACTTTATCCAAACTATAAATGTAAATATATGGTTAAAAAGTATTTCTTCTGCTTATTCCATCACGGAACAATGGAATTGCTCAGTGCTGGAAAGAAATAGGTCGTTAGATACATTCTTTTTATAAAGAAAGGAAAATCTTTAGCAATAGAGAGAATTTTGTGTGTGTGTGAAAAATTCACTCTGTACCAAAAAATACTTGCAAGGTGAGACCTTAGCAATTTAAACATTCTGTTAGCATTCACCATAGGTATTTACTACCTGGTGGCAAAGTAGTTTAAAAGTGCCATCAATCCCATTCTGGGCCAGTCACAAGAAATTGATTTCTTATGCTTACAGAAAAAACGACATGAATTTTCTAGTTTTATAAAATGTCGCTATCAAACTTCAGGTCGTTTTTACGTTAAATAAAATACTGAGCTATTTCATGCTGCATAATACAACAAAAATGGGCTCATGCTTCGTGTTAGTCATGCTAGATTTTCTTTTCTCTTAAGTGAAACATTTTTTCATCCCACATCATCAAGCACATCTGTTTAAATCCCATTATTAAAAAGCTTTCACTTTTTCCTGACAGACTTCCAGTCTGCTATTACATTCAGAATCACAGACCATCACTGACTATTCCATTATTAAACAACAAATTTCTATTTAAAAGGTACACCTAGAGAAAGGATCTATTTAATCAGTCCTTGGTCATTCTGTAGGACTCGAGAATACATAAATGTGATAGGCCCACACAAAAGGATGGGATATGCATAGATTCTTTTTTTGGGGGAGGGGGTAAGCTAGTTGATTGGAAGTCAACTACCATTTCTTGGTATTCGCTCAGACAAAAGAGAAGAGAAATGGAGACTCTTTTTTCTTTTTTTTGGTTGCAAATCCCACTTCTCTGGGTTTCTTATACATGGACAGGGTGTTCATTCTATAGTTCACAATTTTTATCTTTGTTTTTGTTCTTCCTTAATCAGCCTACACAGCCTCAGGCACATCTCAAGCCAATCGATATGTGGGACTAAGCCCAAGAGACCCATCCTTCCTACATCAGCAACAGGTGGGCAAGTTTCACCAAGGTGTAATGGTGTAGCCATGCTTTGGCATCGGTGCTTTTCTCCATGCTGCCTCTCAGCTCTGGACTCAGAATGGGGTTCATGGGGCTTATGAGACAGAAGCTAATCATTTCATTTTCCAAAATACTTTCTCATTTATCCTTTGTTTCTTGCCTCTCTGGAGAGGGTGTCTCAAATTGGCTCATGAGCATCTCCATCTCTGTCGCCTGTATTGATAACATCCATGAACTCTCATAGCCAAAGAGTACTTTTCTCAGTCTTCTTGACTATTGAGAACTTACTAGCTTATAGCTTTCAAAGACAAAAGTTGAAGACTGAGTTAAAAGCCAGTTAGAGTAGAAGCAATACACATTTTGTGTTTTGGAGCTATTTCATACTTTCCAGATGTTTTACCCATCATTTTTGTGATTTAGTCCAAGAAGATGAGTTATGAAGCCAAAATCTCAGGCGACACATCATTCCTATTTTGATAGGTTTAAATTAAATCAGTATACTGATTTCAGATGTGATGAAACACTTCTTTGGGGGTTCTACTTTCTTACATCATTTATGTTTCAAGTAGCATTTTGAATTTCACATCTCATTAATGCTGTAAATTTAGTGCAAATGAAGTGTTTACACAAACTGTGAAAATATATAGCCCAGATTAATGGTGGTTTATAAACAGATTAGCCACCATCAAAAACATGGGCCATACCAATACAAAAATCTCATGATTCTAGCTCCAGGATCTAAAGGCTTGAGAATTTAAAAATATTTGATGATGCGTATGTTTGGTGCTCCCAAGTTTTGATAGCAGAGTACTTTGAAATTAACTGTGTGCAAAATATTACATAGGGAAGAATGCACTACAGTGAAGAAAGAGCTGGCATTACTAACTTGCTCTTCACTTCTAAGCTGTATACACAGGAATCCATGACTTTTAAATATAGAGAAAGCCTGTGCAGGTAGTCATGCCTGCTTCTTTAGTTCTAGACTTGTCCTCATAGCTGTGTTTATTGTGACCACATAACTGTGCTTCTCTGTGGAATTCTCACATCTTTCCCAGTTGCAGGCCAAGGTGGCAGACTGCATATATTAAAGGTCACCACATGCAGAGTTCAGAGAAAAATCATAAAGATGATAGCTTACTCAAGACACTTGATGTTTTGCCAGATTTTTAAAAAGCAAGAGAAAACAAAACAAAAGAGTGAGAACTAACTGAAAACATCTGCACACAGTTATGAAAATACCAAATAATAATTAGTGGTTTTGCCATCCATTGGCTTTTCAACATAATTCTCTGGACTGTTGCTTTTTTTCACCTCTAAAATTGCTATAATATGAAATGTGTTATAATTACTATAATATGGTTCTTTTTGACAAATGTGTGTTCATTGTGTTGTTTTCTTAAGCATATATAGGGTTTATAGGTTTACTTGTTCTTTTCAAAATCATTCCACATATTTTGAGAAATATTTTTCTCATGGGATTTGCATTATTCTTTATGGTATAGCTCTAATTTCCAGTTACTTTTCAATTCATAAAAATGTACCTCCAGTATTTAAACCTTTAGCTCCAAACACATATAGAATATTATAACCAATTCCATGTATTTTTCAGTGATCTTTCCCTCCCCTCTCTCTAATCCAGCTTTGGAGCCTCATTTAATTATCATCACAAAACAACAGCTCATTTCCTTAAAAATTGTTCCTCTTTCACATATCTAAAGATAAATCAGGAAAACTAAACTAGCATCATACACATGTGAATCTTAGTATAGGTATAGTTATGAGCAAATTTTGATTGGAAAAAATGAGTTTTTTCATCAAAGACCATGACTTGTTAAATTTAAGTTAGCAATGCCAAGTGAAGACCACTTACAATGTAAATATATTTTGTTCAGTCAACTGTGGTTGGTAGATAGGATGTATATTGATCCTTGGCAGAAAAAACTATGAGCTTCATAGCCAAGAAAGTAATGCTCACTTTTAAGTACCATGCAGATGATAATATGTCCTCTGTTAATGAAAGGCAGTGCTACTTTTTGAATCAAAGAAGCCCAATATGCCTAATTCATATAGTGACAGCTTAGAGGCATGCAGAAAGTAAATGTATGTGCATATCATACTCTACATGTATGTTAATAAACTAAGGCTCCAATGAAAAGCCAATTACTTTTCTTCTTTCAAATTTTAGAAGTATTATAGAAATGAAATTTTATGTTTACTGTTCAGGAAAGTTGGAACAGAAATAGTTTAAAATGACTTCAGTGGAGTAAAGGTTATCCTTTCCTACAGCAGAAATGAGATTGATTTACTGTGTTCTTTCATTACTTCACAAAGATTTAAAAGAGACCACTTTTCTAGTGGAGGGTTCTAAATGCATTTTGTTTAAAGCACTCAATGATGAATGAAAAGAAAAATCAAGGGGTACATGAAATAAAGGCAATCAATCATTTTATATTAGCTAGGAGAAATTCAAAATTAGAAAGGCAATGGTTTTAGTCTGAGAGAGGTCCTTTTAAACATTCTCCATCGCCTGTATAATACATGACCCCTTGAGAATAAATATTGTCACCAGGTACATTCTTCACTTCGTTGGCAACTGCTTTATAAAGATTTATCCGTTTAGGTTATGAAAAGTATTGATGTTCATTGTTAAGTGCTATTTTTTCCCGAGAAAGGAACTTTAATATAGCCTACACAAATTAAAGTTAACAATAAATTTAAAATTGTTGAATAATTTTGACTCTCTTATAAATAATCTACCCACAAAATGACACATACAGAACTTTCAATATGGTCATTTCTAACTCACAAGGATATTGTTGTTGTTATGTGCCGTCGAGTTGGACTTGACTCATAGTGTGACCCCTCCTTGGATCTCCGAGGCAGTGTCACTACAGAAGTAGATTGCCCAACCTTCCTTCCCAGGAGTGGCTGGTGGGTTTGAACTGCCAGCCTTCTGGTTAGTAGTCAAGTGCCTTAGGCTCTACACTACAGGGGCTCCCACAAAGATACTGGCATTGTTAAATTTAGGTAGAAAATATTAAAATATTAAATTGAACCCTATCTCCTGTTAGAGTGATATGTTCATATTGGCAAATATGAGTAGTAAAAGTATATGATTTTATACCCATCCACTTGGTACACATGCAGTTGTTACTAATAATTATACAACTTTGTGCTCCTTTTCATAATAGTTATTGCTAATTAGTACTGGTTGCTAATTGCATTCAAATCCTAATTTTTTCTGACACTAGAATTTCACCCATAATTATAAATATGATATATATTTGAATCTTACAAATTAAATCATATAATCATGGAAAATACTTGAAACGATGAACGTACACCCACTGTTCATTTTCCATTAAGAAGAATCCTTTCTAATTAGTTATAATAATAATTGGTTCATGCCAGCTAATCAGAACTTTAAAATTTTCCTTTAACTTTTGACACAGTCTTGAGTGCTGCTCAAGGTCTGGAACTAGACTCTCTTTGGAATTATGGCTGAGTTGATGCATTCGCTTTTGGCATGGGTGAAATCTTAAAATCCAGACTTTCAACTTGAGCTTCATTCTTCTTTAACTTTTCTACTGGAAGATGGTACGGTGGCTTAAAGAACTTCGGGGTATTGCTTTGACAAACTGAATTCTTTTAGTCTGTTGAGTAATGTCTCTTTATGGTTTGGAACTTTTTCAGGAAAAAAAAACAAAAACTCCAATTTACCTCATAGAAGTTTAGTAAAATGCAGCGTTTCCCTCCCTCCCTATATTCCTGAGCACACTGTGCATATGCATTGTAATAGGCAATGACATTTCCAAGCTTTGTCTCCTTGAGAAAATACAAATTAGTTAGCAGAGGTTTGCTTAGAAAATACAAAATTTCACATAATCCTGTCTAACAATTGTAGTATAAGTATGAGACACCTTACTTGAATTGACACTGGTTTCTTATTTAGTCAACCTCATAATTAATTTCCTAATTCTAGTCCTTCTTTCTTTGCTATCATAGAAAATTCATCAGTATTAAAAGATCTAGCTCCCGGTTGATTTGCTTGTATTTGAGTGTAGGATCATAATGAAAACATAAGTCCTTACTGTTATACATTAATACAAACATTAAAAAAAATTATTGCAAGTTGGAAACAACAATGTACAGCAAAGAAGCTTCTTGTTAAATAGAAATAAAAGATTATTATTCAGAATAACTACTGAAGTACATGTTAACTTTTGGTATAAATTTGAGATTTTAGATGGAATAAATGGACAGTTACTAAGTGAGACAACAACAAAGTCAAATGATGAACTGGGTTTAGAAGATATAGGAAATTATTTTCATAATCTTAAAGTTACAATCAATCTACTGATTATATATTTCACCTACTATTTGAGCTGATGAATGAGTGCCTGATCAATTCAGGTCTTGCATTATCTATCACAACTGCATGGGTTTTATGGTGCTTGAGCTTCAGCATGTTACATCTCTTGCATGACTATATAATGGTACAATTTGAATATCAATTACTGGGCTGCCTTATATAGAAATATTTTGAACACTTTCCTTCATAGAATTTTAAAAGTAGAATTGGAAAGCAGTTTTCATTACACTGAAAATTTCTATTACAAAAAATGTTTTTAAGGAATTCTCTCTATAGTATTTTTTTTTTAACTAAGGTATTATTTGAAATCCCTTTATAATATTTGTCCTGGAAAATGACAGAGCCAAATCTGGTACATTAAAATCACTGGAAAGGTAGTCTTTTATTAGAGGCAAGCAATTGAAAGGACACAAGTGGACTATCAACAAAGCTTTTCAATGAAGTCAGGAAACAGGCTATCAACACTTGAGCTGTTCTTATTGTGTCTGTTATCATAATTGACAGCTTGACGCAAAACCCTATCACATGACTTCTGGGTAGGTATGTAAATGGATAAGAGGTCACTCTTCACATATGCAAGCTGGAAAGGAAACCCATTTAAAGGAAGTTTCAGTGGCTA